CCAATGCTGCGGCGGCAGTTGTCTCCCAAGCCGCCGCCTGATTTTCCGCCGAGTCGTGGACCAGATCCTCCGGATATGGCCCAAGCTCCGTCAGGAACCTCTCAGGGTCCATCAGTCGCCTGGGACGGAACCATCTAGGCGGTTCCGTCTCCCTGCGGCGAGGGGGAGCGGTCCGGAAGTCCATCCTTAGGAGAGAATGTAAGAGGGTTGTTAAGTGAATCTGTCTTCCCTATTGACTTTGCTTGTCAGAAGGTCACAAAAGGTGACAACATGACCCTGGCATACTGCAACTGTCATAAATATGAGTCAGTTGCCAAGCCTCTGAATTTTGATCACATGCCCACGCGAACACTGCAACAGTCGTAAGTGTGAAAATTGGTCGTAAATCAATTTTAGTGCTATTGTAACTTTGAATGGTCACTAAACAAACTGTTGTAAGTTGAGGACTACCTGTATCGGGTCCTTACTCTTAGATGGAGCCACTGAAAGAAAGTACAGTGCTTAAAGGTATGAGAAAACTGAAGAATATCCAAAAGAGGGACCGGGATCCATATCATGGGGACAGAGCCAAAGAGGGAAAAATTGCTATGAACTACCAGCAACTTTCCAAATATAAATAAATCAACAGTGGACTTTCTGAGTTTGCATGAAATATGTATTGTAAATAATATGGAAAGAGTTGATCTTTCAGGGACTGTTTCAGCAGAGAAGTTTCAAACAGTCTGGCTGGAAACTATTTTATACTTGATTTGGCTTCAGTGACAATGCTGAAAAGTCAGTAAAACAAGCATCAGTCTAAAAATACATGGTTTCCTCTCTTAACAATTCTGCCAATTCTGCCCTCCCAACATTTTCTCAGTTCATTATCATAACTTTTCTACTCACTGAGTAGATTTTCAAAATCTCAAGAAGGAAGCTAGTTGTAGTTCAGAGATGGATAAGCGGCACCTTTTTTTGGCATCTTTTACAATAAATCTCCAGATATCAGCAGGATATTTGTCTTGGTGAGCAAAAGGGGTGGGATCAGCATTGTCAAATCAAGTATAAAATAGTTTCCAGCCAGACTGTTTGAAACTTCTCTGCTGAAACAGTGTCTGCTATAAGAAGGAAGTGGTGAATCCAGCACAATTAAGTGGCGACATGTCTGAGTTTCAGCAGCTGATGCAGGACTCCATACCGTCTGCAAGAGATGTTCTACAACAGAACTATAGCAACCTCCTTAAAGTGGCAGATTATTGTGACAGCAACTATGAGCAGGTGAGTTTCAGTGGGAGAAAAGTCAAGGACAGCCTAGCTTGAGCTAGCACAGAGAGAAACAGTGGAGTACCCTCGCTTCAGCAATGCATACTGGCTCTCAGGCAGCTGAATATATGTGCAGCTCCCAGGGGAAGGTAGCACCTGTATTAACTATAACATTGCAGAACATGCTGAAGAATATCTTGAATCTGTATGGGAACTGGTCAATGTGGAGTTGAGACTTTCAATACTCTCTACTGTTAATATAAATTGAGGAGCCTGGTGGTAATGAAGGAGGAACTGAAAACACCTAAAGCAAGAGTGAGAAAATTGTATTTTTACTGCCTTCTTTCTGCAACTGATATAGTTTCCAAAATTGCAATTCAAAGCTGCACTGCCAAATTTGGTGACAAATCACAAATTTCAGCAATGCAACATTTTAATTTTTTAAAAAAATAAAAAATAAAGATTGAGATGGGTGTATTTATGTATTTATTTTGCTTTTTTCCTGCCCCATTCCAAAACTAGATAAAAATTTTGATATTGCCCCTTTTGGAAATATCAGTGTATTATTGCCATATCTATCACAATTAAAAGATTTTTATTTTAGTCTGCTGCAGGCTAACAGATGCCAAGTTGGAGAAAGGTGTTATAGATAACATTGAAATAGTTTGCTCAAAGATCTGGCCTGATAGAAAGGAATTTCCTGTGGACTATAAATCCATAAAGCAGAGCTGAGCATAAATGGTGTTTTGACATTCTCTACTTGTTTGTAGCCAGAGAAATTGTATATAAGAGAGGGAAAGAAATTTCCCAAGCATTTCTCAAGAACAGAACTCTTTCTCTTAGCAGTAATAGTAACATTGATACTGCAAGTTTCCATTGGAGCACTTGTCTCCTGATGTCTTCCCTTCGCATTTAATTGAAACATGGGACGTCAGGAGGCCTGCAAACTGATGGAGAGATGATGATACAAAGAAAGACATGCCCTGGCCATGATATGTAACTAATGTTGTGAGGGTGATCTGGCTGAAACATCTGTCACCACATTGATCGCCAGGGGTATCTCTTTCCTTTCTCACCACTCCATGTGTGTCCTTCCTAAAGCTGAACACTCAGTAGAAGAAGGCAACAACCCAGATAGGAGTGTACTGATCTTCGGTCAACTGTATATAGTACAATACTATATTTGCTAGAGTATATGTAAGATCATACTGTACTTTACTGCATCTACGGTTAATCACAATGATGCCACTGTCGTGACATAGTGCAATATTTTGGCATCAATATTGTGTCATGATGCATGACACAAACCTTTCATATCCCCTTGCAATATTAAAGATATGTATTGAAAGGGAAGGAGTCAGCATCATTCATCACTCCCCCTCTACTTGACCCCTCTGTGGAGACTGGACATGTTGTGGATCCAGGTGATCATGCAAATCCCTAAAAGTTCTTATTTGTAATAATGCAAATAACATAGAAAACATATACAGCGGGTCATATGAACATAGGAATTGTATTTTATTAAGTCAGGTTAGAATTTAGAGTTTTTGGGAGCCAGCTACTCTATTGTAGTGGTTGGAAATAACTGCTCTTCTTAGATTAGAAGTACTATCACAGAGAATAGGACAAAAATTTACTATTTTTCCAGGCAATATGATAATTTAATATATTTGATAGACATGTTGATTGAAGACTGGAGTCATTAAATAATGAATGGTATTACACCAATGAGAACACTTTCTAATGATGATTATGGTTTAAAGCCTCCCCCAGCCTTGTGACTTCCAAATGGACTACAACTGTCATCATTTCTATCCAACATAACGGATCAGATCTGCAGCCTGGGGCTGTAGGAACCCTACTCCAGCTCCTCTAAGAACACTGGGCTGGGATATGTTGGAGACATAACTTTTCCTGGCTTAATATAAATTAAAACCTGGATCATCCAGCTAAAGTTATGCTCTCCCTTCCTGAATACCTGCCATATGGGGAGTAATCAGCAGGAAGTCAGTTTTATGTCTTTCTATTTTTCTGATTTCTTGCATAATTGTCTTTCATCCTCTTTATGGTCTTTTCTAACTTATAGGCGCAAGACAAACGAAAAGCCCTAAAGGAAACCATGGCTTTCACAGTTCAGTCATTAGCCAGTGTGACCTATCAAATCAATAGCCTAGCTAGAAACATCCTCAAAATATTTGACTTGCAGACCACCCATCTCCAACAAGTGGAAGCCAACGTTTGTTCCATTGAACAGGTGAGCAAGAATCCTGCTTCAGCAGACACTATGAAGACACCATGTGGAAAATATTGGGGTTAGATTTTTTTTTGAAATTCTGAACATTTTTCCTGTTGTTAACTTCTATGGTTGGCATGAGAAGTCTTGTATGCATCTATTGATTCCTCCTTCAACCTCTTCCTATATTGTTAGCTTAGTAAAATCCAAGTTTGCAGCTTTCAAGGTAAACCGCCAATTTCTCTTTTTGTAAGTACCGGTATCTTTGGTGGCATTATTGAGAAATACCACAGCTGGAGGCTTTGACAAGCTGTTCAGTATCTCAGTTCAGTATCTTCCAAATTCAGTCTGCTACTTCAGTCTGGTATTTTCAGAGTTCTCATTTTTTCCCATCCATTGTTGCTGTTGTTGTTAGTTGCGAAGTCGTGTTCAACCCATCGCGACCTCATGGACAATGTTCCTCCAGGTCTTCCTGTCCTCTACCATCTTCTGGAGTCCATTTAAGCTCACGCCTACTGCTTCAGTGACTCCATCCAGCCACCTCATTCTCTGCCGTCCCCTTCTTCTATTGCCCTCAATCTTTCCCAGCATTAGGCTCTTCTCCAGTGAGTCCTTCCTTCTCATTAGGTGGCCAAAGTACTTGAGTTTCAACTTCAGGATCTGGCCTTCTAAAGAGCAGTCGGGGTTGATCTCCTCTAGGACTGACCGGTTTGATCACCTTGCAGTCCAGAGGACTTGCAGGAGTCTTCTCCAGCACCATAGTTCAAAGGCCTCAATTCTTTGGCGCTCAGCCTTCCCATCCATATAACTGCCTAATATGCTTGCCAAAATAGTAAGCAAAAGTTATCTTAGCAAAGCAACCAAGTCAAATCCTTACATATTACACATGGGTATTGTAAATATTTATAGTAAACATGAATGTCCAATGGGTCAAGTCACATGTAATGTAAATGAGAGGCAATTGTAAGATTAATATGTTTTCTGTACCTCCTGGGCAAGTTTTTTTGTGATTGGCCTTGTGATATTTGTTTGCATCCCATTTAATTGTATGGTTATTTCCCCAACATAAGCGGTTTGTTTTCTATTGTTGGATTGTTTTCTGAGATGGAAAGTTGGTGAATATATGGAGAAGCTGCATTGTCTACTTTTTTTCAGGGAATTTCCTTGCCCTCTGAATCACTGTTAAGCTCACAAAGCAGACCCATCCCTGTATTCTAAACTTTTTCAAACCAATGGATTCCCTTCTCTCCACTTCTTACTGAAAGTATGTGAAGATGTATGCCTGTTCCCAGCAGATATCAGATCCCTCTTCCTGTTACTGGAGTGAGACTGGGGACCTGCTTGATGGTTTTCCTGTTTCCTAAGAGTAAGAACAAAAACAAAATAAAATAGAACACATGTGATCAGGAAGCATAAGTGGAATGGATTAATCATCTGTACTATTTCACTTGCTTTATAGTTCCAAAACATCTATACTTTTATATAACCAAGGGAGGTGTGTGCATTATGTGTGTATATGTGTGTGTGTGTGTGTGTGTGCGCGCGCGCACGTGCATGCATGTTTGTCAGGAGAGAATAACTTTAATGGTCAAGCTGCAGTTAGAGTTTGCTGAAGCTGGGTCTCAAAATTTGTTTTGCAAAAATTGTGCAGAAATTAGATATGATTTTCTTTTGCCTGCAGGTCTCTCTTGGACAAAAAGAAAAAAAAACCCTGATTTTAATTAAATTTCTATTTAATCTATTTCAATTTTAGATTGTTTCTTCTAGATTATCATGCTCATAATCTGAGAATTGTGCATTTAGGTGATGATTTGGCAGCTGCAAATATTTTCTTCAGCAGATAGAAAATAAGTGAAATGTTGAAAAAAATCAAGGTTGAGGTACAACCTAGCCTGGGATGCTTTCCTTGCTTTAGGAAGCTTCACTTCCTAATTCATATGGCGTTTCAAAAAGAACTAGACACAATACTCTTATTTGTGCTGGCCAAATAATGTGGTGTGTAATGATAAACAATTTAGGTGGTTTTTTTCTGCCAGAGAGATGTGAAGCTGGTAGTAGGAGAGGAACTATGAACCAGTGATCTCTGGTTCAAATCAGTTTAAACAGCAGAAGAGGGAAGTTTCTTTCTACCAAATGAGATCTGGTCTATTCTTCTCAGTATTGTTTGCATTGGCCATCAACAAGTAGCTGAGTTCACATATTGCACTGAACCACATTTTGCATAACACATAAAGCCACAAGTCTTTAGTTACAAATAACAATGGTTATTTGTAACCCAAAATGCTTAACCAAACAAATGGTATAATTAGTCTTGCAAAGTGAGAATATGCTCAAGACCCTATCTAGAGAGCTCCTTTCTCTACCTTCCTTCAGAAATACTTAAATCAGCCCCTAGGATGTTCTCACTGCACAGTGACTGCTTCTCAATTTCCTTGGTTTGCAGTTTGATGCAATCTCATTATTATTTTGCCTCAAATCATGAAATAATAGCCAGATTTCAGTCCTAAGTGCTGTAATCCTGTTTTCTCATTTAAATGTTTTACAGCAATAACTCACATTCATGATCTCAAACGATGATAAATGTACATTCTTACTTAGGAACTTAAGGAATGTTTTGCTGGATGAAAAACAGGTCAACATTCCTTCTGGTATAGCCTATTTTATAAGCCCCAGGACTGTAGGTCCCATCAGGGTTGGACAGCACTGAGATAGCCAACCTCTGCCTCTCCTAAGTATTGGGTATTGAGTGGAGATCTCAGTAACCCTCAATTGATGAATTGGAATATGTACTTTGATAGGAAGGAGGGAAATAATTAAATTCAGGGCAAATAATTATATGAACTACATTGTATCAATGTTAATGTAAATTAAATCAAATATAATCTTTGTGCTGGCTCTGCATACTTTATTTGTTTGACTTGCTCCCCAAAGCTAAGTGCAGTTTTGCCCTGAAAATGAATGAGCATTCATCAGATTATTAATGGATCTCTCTCTATCTTTTTGAATCATTTCCAACATGCAGTTTTCTTGACAATATTTCCGAAGGGGTTTGCATTGCTTTCTTCCAAGGGCTGAGAAAGAGTGACTGGCTCAAGGTTACCCAGCTTGTGTCCAAGTTGGGACTAAAACTCCTATTACACCAAACTGGTTCTCAATATTGCTTATAATTTGTAATATTGTTAGATTAATAATACAAATTAGACTAGTAATATTGTTAGACTAATAATTAAGCTTTAAACAAAACAGTGGACCCTCCACCATGCAGTCATGTCTTCTCAAAACTAATACTTTCTAAATGTGATGAGACACAATCTCCAGAGTTCCCAGACAGACTGGACTTCTGAGAGTTGTAGCTGTGTTACTGGAATTGATCAGGATGGAAAGGCTGACTTAATAGTAGAAAAGGAATAGGGAATGGGAGGGAAACAATCAAATTCAAGAATCTATTCCCTGATTGCTGCTCTTGAAATAATCTTGCTTTGCTCATGGAATTTCACAGTAAATCGAACAAGGTCATCCTCCAATTGTAACCTTTCCACCATAGGCTCTGCCCTTTTTTCTCCCAGAAAAAAATATATTATTTGAGAATGAAATGATGGGGTAGCTGACATGTTGGTGTTTACTGTCTACTCCAAAGTTGTGAAAAGCCAGCTATGGAGTACTATGGACTGTGTTGAGGTTGGGAGGCTGAATTTTATTGTGCTTTAGAATTTTTGCAAATCTTTGGGTTCTTCTCAGACAATCCATACTGCATACTTCTCCATCCACACTTAACAAATGTGTTCATTATTTAGGAGAAGTAGTAGTTCTGGAAGAGATAGCACCAGTATAGCACTGAATCCCAGCTGATCTAGCGATGTGGGCTTCATTCTTCCTATTACATTCCAGCTAGTTCTGTTAATTAGTGCTGCATATTAACTCTCTTGGGAAATCAGCTGCAAATGGTTCCTGCTCCAGCTTCCATTTATGTCCTGCCAGACAAGTCTCTCTTTTCTCATGATATCTTTCTGTTGCAGGTGATAGAAATGCATAAGGAGAAAGTGTCCCGCCGTGAAATTGGGATGCTTACTGTTTCCAAGACATTTCTTCCCTATCAGAAAATCATCTATCCAAAGAAGCTTGAGCCTTTACAGCCCTATTACAGGAAACCACTGGACTTTAACACTCTGGATGACATTGGCCATGGGATTAAGGTAAGAAAGGGACACTCTCCAATTAAAAAATGAAATGCTTTAGTCCTCCCCTTTGTTAAGAAAGACAATATTCCCAGATTTGGGATGTCCCTATTGACCCTAACAAGTGCAGCCACTGCAAAGGATTGTGGGAATAGTAGTCAAAAAAATTTGAAAGTTGCACTCATAGCCTAGCTGCTGAGACATGAAAAATCATAACTGATAGAAGAACAGAGCTATTGCATCTGTAAAGTAATAACATCAAAGACACCTGGAGATCTCTACTGAAGAAGGCACTAATTCCACAGATGTCAGTAATTTGTTTCTTCTTTTTTTACCATGATGTTTTTAATGTGAATTCTTTTCATTTGGGCGTTTTTAGTTCCCCATGTTGACGGGAGAATTCTGGGAGTTGAAGTCCACACATTTTAAAGTTCCCAAGTTTGAAAAAACATGCTCTTAGATGGATGGTGACCCAACCAGTCTTTCCTTGTAGTCTTCCCTCCTAATTTTGGTACCTCATTGGGAGGATTCCCATCCTGACACATTTTTCTACAGTTCTTTTTACATATTCACTTGAAGGACACTCTGTCCTCCCCCTAAGGCTGCACTAATCAATGCTAAGCTCAGTTTGCTTTGTAGAGCTTTTATGGACTGTATTATAGAAAAATATTGGTTTCTGTCAAGTTTCTTTTCCAAATCCTTTAAATGGGAAGAAGACTAGGCCTAGACCATGAAAAAGCAAACTGCTTCTTCTACTCCCCAAGCTGCAATAGACAGATCTGCTTTCTCCAATTTAGTGTGATTTCCTCTCAGAGGAAACTGTGGAGAGACCATATATGTGGCCATCAACAAATATGTGGTTTTCAGAGCATTAAAGAAATTTGGCAGTTCTACACAGAAGAGGACTTGGAGTATATATGCCTGATTTAGTATCAGATCTGCTGACTATCAGGAGAAATAAGGCATGTAACTAGGTCTTTTTATTAATAAATTTGGGTGTACTGACCCATGTGGTGTAGCTTTGCACTTGGAAAGAAGAAGATTCTTGCCCCACCCAAGAATTTACATAGACATAGAAACTCAATATGAGACAGTGTGTCTCCAAGCACTTCCTCTGTGGAAAAATGTATGTGCTACTAAGCCATTACTCTCTTCCTCCTTCAATACAAAAGAAAAAAAAACCTCAGGCATAATAAGAAAAAGCATAAAAATTTAAAACAAGACTAGGGAACTTATTGAGACACTTGGTACAAGAAGAGTTTGAATCCATACTCCTGGATGCTGGTACAAAATGGCTACTATTGGGAGACATCCCATTTCCAAAATGGCTGCCCTTATGAGCAATTTAAAAACACCCATTGATGAAGTAATCCCTCACCAATTCCCCTATCAAAGATTTTATACCACTCAGTTTGTCTTTTACTTTGGCAGATGGACACACACATAATTGTAGCCAGACATCAGTTTATTTTTGAAGAAGGCCTTTGGGGCTCCTATGAAGCCCAAAAGCATTTTTGGAAGATAAAATGTTAGGTTTCTATAAAATGAAATCATGAGAAAAAATTTTAATAGGCATCCAGGAGCATACCTCCAGGTGCATTGGTGTTCATAGGCACCTCTTCCATCAAAAAGTAAAAACACTGCTTGTACTAGATTCATTCTCCTTTGTAGAGAGTGATTGACTCCTCAGGAAGCCATTTCTCTCTAGACATTTTTGCAGAATTTTCCATATGTAAAAAGAATTGAGAGGATTTATTCTCTCTCTCCCTCTCCCTCTCTCCATCTATTATCTATTATCTACCATCTCTCTCTCTCCCTCCCTGTTTCTTTTTATCTTTCTCTCTCCTATTAAATTTCTATATTGCCTATCAAACATGTGTGACTTGGGGCAGATTATTATTATTATTATTATTAGTAATAGTGATGGTAGTAATAATAATAGTGCTTATGGAATTTGTTGATCTTGAAATGGAAGAAGTTTTTAAAATGTTTTATCATCATAACAATTTGCATATAGGATTATCAGTAAGTAATGGTTTCTTGAAATAAGGAGTAAGGGACAAATTTTAGCCATGAAATTTTAAAGATTATAATTAGCCCCTCATAACCTATTAATCTTCCACATATATTTCTATATATTTCAAATATTTTTTCTCTTTTCTCCTCCCCACAAGTTAGAGTACAATTCTAAAGCAGGATAATAGGACTCCCAAGTATTGTGGCCTGATTAGATATCCAAGTTGCAAAATAAGCTGTTCTTTCTTTCTCCCCATTTTGCAAACTACTTAAAAAAAAAGTGTGGTTGTGTTGGTAACTGGGGCCAGGCATTGAGACTGATCTGGAAACCACATGTACCTGAAACCAATGAAACAAAGACATTTCGAATAGACAGGAAGTACTGCACAACTTTTTTCTTCCCACGCTTCTCTCTCATTTCCAAGTAGCATCCTCATCATTTGAAAGTCTGCTTCCACTCAAAAGGTTTGTGGCATTTTAGCTAGCCCTGATGATAAGCAATGCTTTAATGCTGCAAGCAGAGCAGCTGGAGAAAAACAAAAAGAAACCCCAATCTATATGGAAAGAAAGCTCCTAACCTAGCAATTGCATGTTACTAATATGGAAAGATGGAAAGGATCATTAAAATAGTTCCAATCATGTCAGTGGCTCAGCAGATAATGCAAACTTTTGTGGGTAGGTAGACTAATGATTCTTAAAGAAAGGGCAAGGACTCTAACTTTGCATGAAGAAAAGTGTACCTGAGAAAGAGAGAAACCAGAATTTTATCCGCGGTGGTTAAGTTGCAGGCTACATCCCGCATGCCATATTAATGTAGCTAACCATTGATTGTGTATGTGCATTAACTGGAGCCAATTTCAGAAAAGCAGAGAGCTACATTTTAGCAAACCACTTTATACTTTCCAATAGGACAGAAATATTTATTTTATTTGTGACATTTATAAATAATGCCATGCACCAGCAGGCCTGTGCAAATCAGCTCTAATTCAATTTAATTTGGAGACTTGAGATTCAAATAAGATAAGATGCTATTTGAATTTGTAGTTCAAGGTCTGAGAGCAAACCAATTCGACTTAGACTGTTTTTAGAGATAATACTGATGAGAAGCATATATTCATCCAAATTGCCCATAAATTGCCCATTATCCTCTCATCTCAGTTACTACAATAAGAGGACCTCTTGCTAACTAATTTTTAAGGGACATATTCATATAATGTTGCTTTTATCTCATCCTCAGGCAATCTAGAATTATTTTGTGAAGTTCTAGTGTGGAAGGGGAATATTCCTTCTTATCCCAGAACAAATCTTGCCACATGGAGTCTCTGAAATATCTTAGTGATGAATCTGGGAATGATATACCGTAGCCAGTGATTGGTTCTACTCTGCTTCTGCCTCTCCCCCTCATTCAGTCATTAGACACTGCTTCTTTGTGGTCATTGTAACTTGTCTGAGAAAGAAACACCTACCTGCTTGCAAAGGCAATTTTCCTGTGCGCCCCCCCTCCCCTGCCATTGATGGTAATTTCAGCCACTTGAGTGATCCACACCACAAAACAGATTGATGTATCTATGAAAAAATACATTCCTAAAAGAAATATTGTTGTGAAAAAGAGGTCAAGGGGGCTCTTTTCCACACCCTAGTAACCTCCTGCCATGAGGACAACACAATTGATATCAGTGCAATTTTCTGCTGAGTCAAGGTTGGAATGAAAGAACATTAAAGTAGCAGCCTGGATGAGCTTTACTTTGTGCTGAACTAATGCAGAAACTGTTCTACTAAATAAAATACTTCTAAACGTGTTTTAAAAGTAAAGCCATTTTAGTTTTCTGGAGTTTAGGTTTGGTTAACATTGAAGTATGATCACTGACTTGCCTTGGCATAGATTTGGTATAGATTTGCCATCTCTGTTCACTGTTTGTGTAGTGCCAAGAGAGGTCACATAGAAGGATAGCCAACTTGGCCACTCCTACGAAGGAGCCATCATCGTAGATTTGACTTGGTTGTGTGACTTGATGGTGACTGCTCTATATTAGCAGAGGCAGCAGGGGCAGACTGACACAGTGAAAGAAAATGCCACAGAAATAGGCAGCCAAGGAGAAAAAGGCTGGCACACAAAAATTGGTATTCATAGATTTTCCACTTCCTGGTTTTAAAAACAAATAACATTTAGGCCAATACCTTTAAGTCCTAGCTTGATACCTATCCTCTCATTGTTGAGTTGTATATACTTAGGTCATATAAATGTCTATACTGAACAATCAGTTTTGAGACAATATTGTAAGTGCTAAGAGTTGAATTTAATGTTGACTTATGTTGTTAAGGTTAGAATACTGCTTGCATACAAAAAAAAGCAAACGTAAGACTTGAGAGCTAAAAAAAACCAAATGAAACCAAAAGTAATGTTAGCCTTAGCACTGCAAAAAAAAATAAAAAATCCTAGCACTCAGTTTAATGAGGTGACAAATTGTATTTGCTGCTGGCTATCTGTATCTAAGACTGCTTCACATTGTTCAGCTATCTTTCCCAGCATCCTCCATATATGGAAGTAAACTTGCAAACTTGCATATTGACTGTAATAACCCCAGAAGCAGTACAAAAGCCATCTATTCTACAATGTGTGTCAAAAGTCTATAAAGTGCTCTGAAGCCAGTTGATCTGATTTGTCATTTCAAAGCTGTTTAGAATTGCAATTTTTTTTCAAACAGAGTGATTTGTTCCTAACTGTTTCAAAGCTTTGTACAACCCTATTTACCAGACATAGGGATGAAGAGAGACAGTGAATGATAATAAATGTTTTGTCCTAGCACTTCTCATTTGAATTACCGTATGTAGGTAGTCCTTTGAGTTACATAGGTAGTCCTTTGAACTATTGTGCAGTACATCTGTGGACATGGAAATGGCTTTGCAATCCCAATCTGAAAGTGCAGAATTTAGCACAACAGGGACACTGGAAGTCCATTGTTATAATAGCTGTGGGTGTTATTCAGTTTTCAATCAGTCTTCAAAGCCAGTGGAAGCTTCATAGCACAAAGCTCTCCAGTGGTTTTTTCCACCAGCCGCAGCTTCTAGTTCCCTTGACAATGTCACAGTGATGTAAGGGTTCCTTCACAGTATCTTTGAAGGGCTTGCATGGTTGACCTTGCTCCCATAGAACAAGGTGAATGGTATTCTGATGAATAACTGCATCTGGGCTCTGATAATCAGGACTCGATGCTGATAAGACTTTATGTGATTCAGGACCCGCAGATTGGAGACACAGTCTTGCCAACAAATGCCAAAGATAGAGCAGAGAGCAGGCCTGTGAAATTTTTACAAGTGCTTGATATGTTATTGGTTCAGAGTCCAGGAATCATGTCCATATAAGAGGGAAGGGATTATTTCCACAGCTCTATAGACTTTCAACTTTGTGGAAATATTGAAGTTGTGTTGATTGAGCACTATAGTTTGCAGCTACCCCAGAGCCTGGCTGGCCTCAAGTCAATTTCTTATATTTGAAGTTATTTACATTAGGCAGTTGGGTGTCATCAACAGTAAGTTTTGGTTATATGGGGTTGATATTTGGCATGGACTGATAGAGCATTTTGATTTGCTCAGGCAGATAATGAAGGTTAAATACCTTAACAAACGGCAATAAACATAGAGAGGAGAGGTGCGAAGGGGAGGGGGGACAACAGCATTGTGTATTAGAACAGCCTGGAGGGAGCAGAAAAGAAAACAAGGCTAATAGACAAGAGAGGAAATTGGAAGACATGATTACACAAAAAAGAAGGGGAGTAGAGGCTTTACCCGCGCTAAACCTCCAAG